GCTCGGAGTCAGTATAATGTGTCTGAGTGGGGTATTCATGCTTCACTGCGGCATGGTATCTCAGTGGGCTAGCACTATAAAACCAGCTTTAGTCTGGGTTAGTACAAGCAGCCGCACATACACATACACACGCATGTACGTCGTCATATGAGCGAAATATTCTCAAGCACGACGTTAAACCCCATTTCACCTCACCTCTCAGCAAGTCATTAGGTATGTTGAATCTTTACGTCATAATAATAACTTATGTATGATATCAATGCCCCAAATTTATATCATAACAATATGTTATATATGATATCGATGCCACAATTACACTTCAATAATCATATGTATTTCTTTCTATCAACGGTAATTCTGGTTCTTTAATTTCACCAGATCCACACAGTATCATTCCAATCTTTAAAGCATTAGGTGTGGTATTTACACGGCAGACATTGAAGCTCATTAAGCACAAATGGATGCACAAAACCCTATTGATCCATTTGTGTTCAAGGCCGAGGTTTCATAGTTTTTACATTGTGTGTATGTTTGATCGATGAAACAGGTGATATATGCTGCAGGCAGACAGATGGAGAATGTCCTTGTTAAATCTCTCTGTTTGATCATATGAGACAGTTAATGTCAGTGTTATAGTCTGTTTGCAGTGAAAACGTACCGATGAATTTCACTTTAAACAAAAAAGTAAATCAAATAAAGTGAAATTTAAGATTGCGAATCCACAAAATTTTACCTTGTCAATTAAACATTTAAATTTGAGAATTTTATTCAACTTAGGATAAAAGTTGTTTAACAAATGATCATATTAGTTTCAAAATCGCTATTTTTGGTTTGTATTACAAGGGGGTATGCACATTAAATGAAACACCGAGAACAAGCAGGGTTGGTCTAAGTTAACGCTCATCACGTACCGCACATGCATTTGTTTCATTGTTCATTGTTCAACTACTGCGCTTACCCCCTTGTAATACAAACCAATAATAGCGATTTGAAATTCATCAGTACATTATCACTGCAAAGAGACTATAGTTGCAGTGTATAACGTCAAGCGCATCAAGTGTAGCAGACCCAATACTGCCTTCAGCCAATCAATATGACAAAATCTATAAATTCAGACTTTAGAAAGAATTTATCGGCTGTTAATAGGGGGAGTTCATTTTGAATCTAGAATACATTTGAATTTGTATATTGATCTTTGGTTTAATGTACTTGCTTTTGGAAATATATTCAGGTCATGAGAGGAGGTCAAAATGTAGAACTGTGTGCATGTATAATAGTAATTTACAATTAACAAGCTCTTTATAAATTCACTGACTTTAGAAGGATTTTATCAGCTGTTGATCAGTGTAGTTCATTTAGAATCTAGAATACATTTGCATTTCTATATTGATCTTCAGTTTAATTTACTTGCTTTTGGAAATATATTCAGGTCATTAGAAGAGGTCAAAATGTAGAACTGTGTGCATGTATAATAGTAATTTACATTTAACAAGCTTCAAAGCCTGATGTTTAATAGGTCAACACATCTGCATATGATTATTGTGATCAGTGTGAATAATGCATGATAATGATAATAGCTGGAATCATTATTGACCAATCAATGTTCAGTCAACTGTCAGCTTTCAAGGGTAGATATTGCTGGAATATTGATAGAAAAGAGGCGTAAAACTAAACTCACTCACTCATTCCACAAAGTGATTGTAGCACTTTGACACTATGGGAGTTAATCAGCTTAACATTACAATTGCTTTGTGGTACATGGTCAAGGGGATGTACTGATGATCAATTTTGGGAGTCTTTTAACTGTATATTACCGGTAACTTGGTTTTGTCAATAGTGAGTGAGTGTGTATGATTTTACGCTGCATTTAGTAATATTCCAGTAATATCATGGCAGGGGACACCAGAAATGGGCTTCACACAGTGTACCCATGTGGGGAATTGAACCTGAGTCTTCGAAGTGATGAGGAAGCGCTTGAACCACTAGGCAACCCACCACCCCTTTTTGTCAAGAACACAGATGCAGTCACATTATTATCTTTGGGTTATTTAGACATTTATCTTTGAGCACCATGGAATAATAGAATATCTGTCACTTGTGATTCAGTTTGTGAGTTCTGAATCTTGGCAGCTTTGTAGGTTATTCTCTGTAGTATACATAACATTTCTTGGGTGAAAATGTTGAAAATGTGTATTTCTTGGCCTCAGACAGAGATATCAGCTCAAGGTGCCATTGTTCAAAGCTTTCTTGGTGCTAAGGGTATCATTACTCCCATATCTTGATGTATTCTTACGCCAGTCCTAGCACTATGGTTACTTGTAGGACCCGTGGCGGTGGGGTAGCCCAGTGGTTAAAACGTCAGCTCATCACGCCGAAGACCCGAGTTCGATTCCCCACATGGGTACAATGGTGTGAAGCCCATTTTCTGGTGTCCTCCGCCGTGATATTGCTGGAATATTGCTAAAAGCAGTGTAAATCTAAACTCACTCACTTGTAGGACCGTATGTGAAGATCTTGGTTAGAATTGGTCTTAGCAACCATGCTTGTCGTAAGAGGTAAAGAACAGGATCGGGTGGTCAGACTCACTCACTTGGTTGACACGTCATCGTATCCCAATTACGTAGATCAATGCTTATGCTGTGGATCACTGGATTGTCTGGTCCAGACTGGAATATTGCTGGAATATTGCTGCATGCAGCGTTAAAACAGTAGACAAACAAACAAAACTTGTAGGACACCCAGTTACCCTGTTGTTGGAATGATGTGACATAATTGTGTGATTAACATGGGATGACATCATCACCAGTAAAACAGTACACAGAATGACAACAGTGGAACAGTTGTCATAAATGTTTCATTTGTATGAATCAATGTGAACTTTGTAAAATATATGACATATTGTTGGGGGATTGAGCCCTTGATTTTAACATACGTGGCACAGATGTGGTTGACAGGTGTAGCTATACCTGCTAGTGTTCACGTTTACCGGTAATTAACCATATTTACAGTTTCTAACTGGTAAAATTAACCATGGCCTGGTAAATATGTGACTGGCTTGAAAATTATCTTTCAAATTTGTCAGTCTTCAAACAGTACAACTGAAGCGAAATAAACACAATAAGGATGAATCAGAAAAGTCAGAGATTGTGTGTGACACGGATAGTATGTACGCGAAAATGTCTAAATGTTAAAAACACAAAAAAGAGAAACTTTGAAGATGTTTGGTTGAGTGGATTTTGATGGTTACTTGGGCTGCAACGATTTGGTTCGATTCATCAAAAATCGAAAATGACACCTGAGTTTTGATTTTCGATAACCATTATCATTGTTCTGATTTGATATTTGAATATCTACTTAAATTATTTCCACACAGCGAGAACGTAATTTTGACTCCAGCTCGAGCAGTTTTGAGCGCTTAAATAAGGGAAAATGTGATTGGTTGATGCCGGGCTGATTATCCAGTGAGAATTGTTGTTAGTAGACATCGCCAAGTTGATGATGGATTTCACGCTACATCATTTACATTCCTGATTTCCTAGTCAAATCTTGGAAAAAGGTTATAGTGTGATATGTTTTGTTAAGTAAACGCTGAGAGTTAAATGAAATCAGATGTTTTACTTGTATGAAGAATCGAAACAAAAATGATCGATTATCGAAAATCGAATCGAGGTCAGGGTGAATCATTGCAGCCCTAGTTAACGACACAAAGAACAAACTGAATGAGAACTTGAAGCAATGTTCTCAGGACTGGAAAAATTATTGAGTTACTGGTAATTGGGACTGGGACCACTGCCCGATGTGTCCTTTCCTTCATAATCTGTTAGCGTGAACACCTATGTTTGGAAGAACAGACTGATATTTTCTTGAACATGTTAATATTGCATTAAATGAATATGCAAATTGATTTATATTTGAGCTCCTTATAAGTATTCAGTGTTTCGACACATAGTGATTGGCTGTTTTATTCAAAACCAAATCAAAGTCAGCAAAGCTGGCATTTTACTGATCAGCGATTATGGAAGGGACCCAACACTTATTCTGTATTGTCAATATTCATGTTAATATTTATTTGGTAAAAGTAAGTGACTGAACATTTTTTTCTTATTTTGTTTGGAAATGTACTTTGTACATGCAGTATTTTAGGTTTCTTTTCACTGCATTTCATATTCTGTTCTATTCTAGGATGACACTTAAAATAGGTTTTACATAATGAATGCCCTTGTTTCTTTGAAAATGGATGAAAATTCCTTTCAGCAACATCAGAGCTGGTATCGTTCATCATGATCAGGTTTTGTTTTTGCTTAATGCATATTCATAGCCTTCAGTATTGAGTATTCATAGCTGTCAGCCAAGGAACCGTGCCAAGTTAAACTTATCACAGGGGTACACAAAGTGCATTATAGAAATGATCAATTTTTGGACTACAGATTTTGTGTCAGCTGCAGTGGCTGAGTGGGTTAGATTGCACACTTTGTGTACTGGCAATCACTGAGAGAGTGGTTTCAATCCTGAATGGGACTAAACTTAAAAATTAGTAAAATTTGTACCTTAGGCCAGACCAATGTTATATCTTGTTTTACGGATTTTTGTCCTCAGAAAACCTAAAGGCAGGAGGAAATAATAAAGAAGAAAATTGCCAGTCAAAGTAATATCCCTTTTAAATACTAAAATTATTTTACTTTTGGCAAGTAATGCAGTGTATATGGGGCAAAAAAATCTGTAAAAAAATTCTTGTAAGTTAACATTTTTGGCCAATAAATACATATCGATAAAACAAGAAATATTATTGGTCTGGCCTTACTAAGAAATTATTGTCCCAGATTTAACATTAGTTAGAGAGGAGATTCGGAAATGCGGACAATGTTGGCGAGTCACACAATAGCAACCACACCATTACAAACCTAAAAATGTTTTTAAAAAGCACAGATTGTATCATTCAATACTTCAATACTGGACACAATTGTTCCGGCTAACCAGTCCTAATATTTTGTCTGTTTCAGGTTTTGGTACGTCAGTATAGTTGCCTGCCATCGTAACGGTGTTCAGGAACCCAAGTGTCAGTGGGGCTACAACAAGACCCAACATGGAACAGTTGCCTATGACATATGGATGGTCAATGGCGACCCCAGTGCAAAACATCTGAACCCATTTGAACACCAGTTCTCCTTCGAGCTGCACGACGTGTTTGAAATCCACCTGATGGCCATAGTGTTGTGTACTTTACTGTTTCTCTTGTGGCTGTACGCATTCCTCAGACAGCAGCACACACTGACGAAGATCTTCACAGCCAGCTTCCTGTTAGAGATGGTCGGCATCAGTTGCAGTCTCCTCGACACCACCATCTTTGCCTTCAACGGGTGGGGTGCCGAGTGGCTAGGCATCATGGGCACGCTTGTCCGGGTCCTCAGTCAGTGTCTGTTCATGCTGTTTCTCCTGCTCATTGCCAAAGGATGGGAGATTACCACTGATAAACTCAGCAGGAACACTGTCCTTTTCACTTTGTGGGGAATCTACACTGTCTTGAATATTGTGCTCTTTGTCTGGAACAAAGTAAGTATTAGATAGGTCAGAAACGTCATCAGTATATAATACCCTTCATAAACTTAAGAGTTGACTGAAATCAACTGGAACTGGAGTCCCATAACACCATAACCTGTGAAGATCCGGGTTAGAATTGATGTTCAGTAACCCATGCTTGTCATAAAAGGTGACTAACTGGATCGGGTGGTCAGACTCGCTGACTTGGTTGACACGTGTCATCTTATCCCAATTGTGTAGATTAATGCTCATGCTGTTGATGACTGGATTTATGGGTCCTGTCCACGTGTCGTGCTGTATACTTAAGTTGAAATGTGTATGACACACTACTTTTATAATGAACTATAATTAGTGGTCCATATGTGTTTGTTATTGCTGTAGTTCACTGTATCTGATGTGTTCTTTCAGACAGAGGTAGACATCATATCCAACCTGGATGAATGGCAGACGTACTCTGGGTATCTGACTCTAGCATTTACTCTGGGTATCTGACTCTAGCATTTCGACTGGTTATAATGATGTGGTTTCTGTGGGAGCTTCGCCAAACATTCCGCTCTGCTGTCCACCCTGACCGCCTGAACTTCTTCCAACATTTTGGTGCTTTCTGTCTGGTCTGGTTCGTCTACCTGCCTGTCCTTGCTCTCATTGCTACGCAGGTGTCAGCTCTGTGGCGCTTCAAAACTGTTCTCAGTATGTATATGCAGTTAAATCTTCATATGTTTCATTTTGTTTGCTTGTTGTTAAGGGGCAGGGGGTTAGCCCAGTGGTTAAGGCGTTTGCTCATCATGCCGAAGCGCCGGGTTTGATTCCCCAAATGGTTACAATGCGAGGAGCAAATTTCTGGTGTCCCCCGCCATGGTATTGCTAGAATATTGCTAAAAACGGCATAAAACTAACTAACTCACTCGATTGTTGTTAACGCTGCACTCCACGAGTCTGAATTACTTTCTTTGTTCTTCAGCAAACTGTGTGGTTTCTAAAGGTTATTCTGTTATCAATGAGGTTACTTCTTGGCAACAGCCCAGTTGCGCAGATCGATGCTTATGCTGTTGATCACTGGATTGTCTGGTCCAGAATCGATTATTTACAGACTGCTGCCATATAGTTGAAATATTGCTGAGTGCGGTGTAAAACTCACTCATTCACTCACTCACTGTTCTAGTCTTCTTGTAACCATGCTAACTGGCATTAACACTCATGGTTAAAGGGAATTTATATAAGATTGATTGTAATGAGACATAGTTCTTTTCAAGTACCAGATATTCATGAATGTTTAAGCTTTTGAGTTTTGCACCTTGTATAGATGAACATATTACACAAAATTGTCGTATCATCACATCAGTGTCATTTGCTGTCTCTATCAATATGAATAAAGTATTTGAAATACTCTAATTACAACCTTATGAAAAGGTCTTAAGAACTCTCATCTGTTCTTTTGTCTTACCTGCTTAACAATTGTAGGGAAACAGAACATGCATTTTTGGAAACAGGAATTATCTTGTCTTCTTTTTTTCTGATGAATTGAAAAATAGTTCTTTTGTCTAAAAACAAAAAAATCAATGTCATTTATAAGAACTCTTAAACTATGGAAGGAGACGTTCTGGCCTATTTGAGTCTGATTGAGCCAGTTGAGCTATGTTCATGTTCTAAAGTCAAGGGGCGGTTGGGTAGCCTGGTGGTTATAGTATTCGCTAGTCACGCCAAAGACCTGGGTTTGATTCCCCACATGGGTACAATGTGTGATGCCCATTTCTGGTGTTCCCAGGTGGAATATTGCTAAAAACGGCATAAAACTTAACTCACTCTAAAATCAAAACTTGAACAAGAAGCGACAGCATTTTTCACTGTTGTGGAGGTGTTCACATGATTCGGTCCTGATCCCATTAACCATGATAATTGTCTATCTTCAGGTATATCGTATGCGGCAGATGTCTTGGCATATGCTGTACTGATTCACCTGTTCTGGCCCAGCAAGTCCGTGCTGTACATGATTAAAGGGGAAGTCCCTTTGCAAACTTATGATCTGGAAATAACAGGTACTTGTTTACTGGACCTGAAGATATTAGACAATACATGGTGGTCCCAGATGTATGTACTAGAGCTGACCGTAGTGACTTGTAGAGAAAGTATGTGTAATTCAGCTGATGTGTTGTAGGTTAAAACGCGTGTGTTGTCAATTTATAGATAGCTGAATGGGTCCTATTTAGAAACCATTTCTATGTGTTTAAAAATTTATAAAATCAGCGAAACTGATTTTTATCTTAACACAAAAACTCTATGAAAATGCTATCTAAAGGACAGATGTAGTGATTAATTTATTACTCTTTTTAACTTTTTACATTGTCTAATTTCAATAATGTAAAAATATGTTGCTGGTTTAAGCATGATAAGCTGAATATTACATTTGTATAGTCCGTTTGCAGTGAAAACGTACCGATGAATTTCAATTTAAACAAAAAAGCAAATCGAATAAAGTGAAATTAAGATTGCGAATCCTCATAATTTTACCTTGCCAAATGAACATTTAAATCTCAGAATTTTATTCAATTTAGGATAGAAGTTGTTTAACAAACGATCATAGTTTCAAATCGCTATTATTGGTTTGTATTACAAGGGGGTATGCACATTAAATGAAACACCGAGAACAAGTAGAGTTGGTCTAAGTTAACGCTCATCACGAACCACACGTGCATTTGTTTCACTGTTCCAACTACTGTGCTTACTCCTAAGATGAGTAAAATTCTGAGATTTAAATATTCCATTGGCAAGGTAAAATTATGAAGATTTGCGGTCTTAATTTGACTCTAATGCATTTTCTGTTTTGTTTAAAGTGAAATTCATCGCTAATGACTAAAGGACTGGCAGTAAAGTACAATGCATTTTCTGGGATTGATAATTCACAAAGATCACATGTAGATGTCTGTTTTCATAATTACATAAACTAATATGTCTAGCTCCTTATGTGGGGTAGCCTAGTGGTTAAAGCCTTCACTCATCACGCTGAACACCTGGGTTCGATTCCCAACATGGGTACAATGTGTTGAGCCGTGATATTGCTGGAATATTGCTAAAAGTGGCTTAAAACTAAACTCACTCACTCACTCATGTATGTTATATCAGTGCCGAGGGGGAGCTGTTTTTAATATCTAACTACAGCATGTATGGTATCGAGCAATTGTTATTTTAGATTCCCACTATACAGGAGCAATGGACGCACCTCCTGGGTGAAGTTAGTCCATGTATCTGCCATGCTAGGCATCAACTGCATCCTGTCATGGCTTGGTAGTAATATCATCCTGAAATTTGAACATATCCTTCTCCTGATCTTTCCTTTGGGATCTGAAACAAGAGGTGGATCAGCTTTATCTTACTCCCAAATGGTGATCATGGTTCAAGATGGTCCGAGGAGTGTTTTGTGAAAAATTCGACTGCATCCTGTTCATGGCTGGATAGTAATATCATGCTAAAATTTGAGTACATATATATATACTTCTGATCTTTCCCTTGGGATATGGGGTGGTGCGGTAGCCCAGTGGATAACATGTTTGCTCGTCACGCCAAAGGCCAGACGTCGAATCCTCACATGGGTACAGTGTGTGAAGCCCATTTCTGGTCTCCCCCGCTGTGATATTGCTGGAATATTGCTAAAAGTGGTGTAAAACCCAACTCACTCACTCCTTTGAGATACGAAATTTTTTTTAGATCAGCTCCGTTTGCTCCCAAGTGGTTGTCATGGTGAAAGGATTCTTTATGTAAAGAGTTTTACTTTGTGCTTTACCGCCGCCATATAGCTGGAATATTGCTGAGTGCGGCGTAAAACTAAACTCACTCACTCACTTTGTGCTTTAAGTATTGATGATGGGCTCACTGTATACAGGGTACATTCAGGAATATTTCTGTGATATTTTGTTATTTTCGGAGCGTAATGGTGTTGGGCTGATGTTGCAGGGTTGTTGGATGACATACAGGAGACAACGCTGTTTGCAAGGTCAACAGACAAGAGTGATGGAGAAGAGGAAGAGGATGAACTCCTTGGACATGTTGAAGACAAGAAGAGCAACGGCAACATCGCAAATGGAAAAGTGAACCACGCGACCCTACTGGGTGAACCTGAAGAAACGTCACTATAGTTCTTCAGCCGATCACTGATACAGTCATGCCATAACTCATGTATGAGTCTCTTTTTACGAACATTATGAACAAAACAAATGTTTTATTCATTTTGAATTTTCAAAACAGCAGATATCTGCATCAGTATTTTCTAAAAGAAGGCTCATGTTACTTGAACATTATCATTTTTCAAAGCATAATATATTTACCGTGGTACAAGAATCGGTTGATTGGTAAGGAAAAATAGATGAGAGAACGTTGAGACTGTGTGATAATGCCATAACAAACAAGTGTAACATATTTTATATCTGTCATGTATTATTGTTAAGAATGACAGTCCATGCATAATTCTATGTAATATATACAACATATATATTGAAAGCATTATATATTCAGAAAGTTTTAAACTGTGATGTATGTAAAATCATGTGTCATGTTTGTGATATTTTCGATATGATTGCTGTGCATTTTGCTGTTTCCAGTATGCTGTCCAACAGTGTGGTGTGTGTGTAGTCTTGTCACGCTCAGTAAGGTTGTGTTACTGATGTTATTCGCTCACCTGACTGAAAGTCAACTGAGCTTCAGTCATGGCCGGTTCGTCTGGCATCTAGTCAGTTTTCTGTTGATTGTCATAAATGTCTTCCCCCCAAAGTGAGCATCGGACTTGTGAAACCGAAACTTCACAAACTTGTTCAGGGAAAGAAACCTTTAAAAATTTCCCACTAGATCACAGGACCAGTGAGTGGACAATAATTAATGATCCTGTCTACTTCACTTGTCCAAAATAACATTTGAAGATATACTTAACTATCAATAAATTCACTGGCCACCAGGACCAATGCAAACTTATCATTTAGTGGTCCTGATGAATTTTTACTTGCCAGGGACCACAGGACCTGTGTAAATTTCGCACACTGCTTGTTCCCACTAAGGGACCGTTCATAATTGATGGCTGGGGGGAATGAATGATGATTTTCATGGAAAGGCATGTACAATGTGAATGACCCCCCCTAAGGTTTATGGTACAAAATATGTGACCCCCGCTTGCATGTCATGTATAAAATCAATGACTTCCCCCTCCCATAATTTATAGTAATATTTTTTTGTTATTTTTGTGTATAAAATTGGTGACCCCTAGTGCATGTGTACAAAATTTGTGACCCCCCTCACCTCTCCAGAACAAAATTGGTGATCCCCCTAAAAATCATCATCACCCCCTAGCCATAAATTATGAAAGGTCCCTAATGACAACTTCTAAACTTGTTCAAGAGATGTGACTATTTTCAATGTTGCTGGCACTTCAACTGTTTAGGACAAGCATGTTTATGGCTATTGCTAATAATTTTTGGTTTAAGATGTAATGAAATTTGGTAAATGTGTAGTAAATAGTTGAGTTAAACTTTCATTTTCCATTTCTTGCAATGTTTTATGTTTGGACTTAGATTTGACCTTTGCACTTTGACATTGCTGAAAGTTCTTATGGCCATTACTCTGGCAGTTCATACCATGATGTAATGAATGCTAGTATATGTAAATAAAGTATAGCTAGTGGTGGGGCTCAGCACACATGGCATACACCTCATTGTCAATATGATCACTGGCAATGTTGAAAAGCTTATCTATGGCTACTGCTCAGCCATTTCTGCTCAAAAGATACTGCAGTGCTATTGTGTAAAAATGCATTTTGTGCTTGTTATAAAAACAGACAGAAAAATTGTATGGCATTAGAAAGTGCCATATTTTCCTTTGAAGATATAGAGGGCCTAGAGTTGAAACTTTGTGGAAAGTAAACATACCGTATTTCCTCTAATAAGCACCAGGCCTCTAATAAGTGCCGGGCCTCTAATAAGCGCTGGGGATAAAGCAGTTCACTAACAATTACGGTAATTAGGCCCAGTAAGCGTAAAAGTGCCGGGTCTCTTATAAGCGCCAGTCATGGAACTCCTTTGAAAAACTAAGAGCCCATGAGCTTATCAGAGGAAATATGGTCACAGTTATTGGGAGTATGCTACTTTATTGGGCAGATTTTCACCTTCAATTTTACTATGGGTAGGATCGAGCTTACATTTCCTATTAAGCTTATAAGGTAATCTAATTAGCCAACTTTTTACTAAGGGTGCTATCACAAATATTTAGTACAGATTTACCGAGTCATGAAAACATGATTGTTTACTTTTTATATTCAATAGCTATTTTCTCCATGAAAATCAATCTTGACAAAATTTGTATGGATTGTCTGCACGTTACATAGGGTAAATTTGTTACAAATCATAGCCCTTGAAGTGTTTGATTGACAACCGTAGAGTTGGGTAGAGTTGTGTCATTGAACAGGGGGGTCTAACCCTTATGATAGGAAATGGCATTCAAAGTCAAAGTTGGGAGTGACCAACCCTTACACTAACACAACTATGATCGAAGAAACAAGTAAGATCTGTGAAGCCAGAGTCCTAGTTGACAGTGCTAACTGGTATTGTATAAGCTGCGACCCTTAATCTGTATGTTGCCCTATTGTGCATTGCAATGGTCTTTGAAAATTGTACATTAATTTTGTCCATACCTGGAAACATGTTAGAAAGTTAGTTATTTGTATCCTATTTGTAAGTATTTATTTTGGCCCCAATATTTATACAGAAAATATTTGAATATCAATATTGACAGCAACTTCTGTTAATTGTCTGTTTACTCCTGATTGACTTGATAAGCAGGGCCCTTATTCTCAAAACGTTCTTAGCCTTAAGAATTCTTAACTTTGATCATAGCCAATGTGTTAAGAATGGTCTTACGAAGTTCGTAGGGTTACGAACATTTTGAGAATAGCTATCCAGGTGAGCTATACTGCCATGGCATAATATTTCATGTTTCGTAAATGCTTCTGAATCCTTCTCACTAGCATTAATGAGTGGAAATTTGTTGTTTAATCTGTAAACTTTCATCAATTTTACCTTCTATCTGATTATTCCACAGATTATAACAAAAATGATTATACATTTGAAAATGGAATCATATCGCAAGTTTGTATTAACTTGTCACAGTCAGCTGTCCATTTGAAGATATCGAAGTATTAGCCAAAGAGCCTAGTTGATGTGTTTGGTCTGGGACAATGATTACCTCCTCCCAGGAATACACTGTACTATATGACCCTGGTTCAATGCCCGCCATACATCAGTCTAAGTAAACTTAGGCTCAGTATTATTTGTTACACTGCTATACTGAGTCTAACAAAACCTTGTGGAAGGTCGCGTCAGGTAACCTTTGAGCGACCTATGACCGTCCAATCAAAAGCGAGACGACCGAACGGATTTAACCAATCAGACAACGGCTACTATTTAGGGTTCGGCGGGACTTACAAAATGGATTTTCTCTTTCCTGGTCGCCAACACTGATCTCACAACAAATGAAAACCCACATAAAGCACAGACATATGACCTGCAGAATATACGCTTTGGGGTTTCTGTTGACATGGTTATATCATTAACTAACATTTCCACAAGCTGACATCCTTGAATACTGACAACACGCTATTTTCAGCGATTGTTTACTCACTGTTGTGGCGTGCTCCATGTGCATCACTCGGAAGCGATCGTACGGAAAATAGCATTCGGAATCGTTCGGGTACAAACCTTTTTCGAGGTAAAACTTCAAAAGGTATGTGCGAATGTCAACTTTCGCGATTTGGTAAGCTGTGTTCGGATTGGTCAATTGAAAAGTTTACCTGACGCGACCTTCCACAAGGTTTTGTTAGACTCAGTATAGCAGTGTAACGAATAATACTGAGCCTAAGTTTACTTAGACTGGCCATACATTTCTTTCAGACTCAGTTTCCCACACCATTTAATTGCAAATATATAATTGGAGGAATAATGTATAAAGCCGGAACTTTTCAAACAAGTAATTTTTAAGGCCTCGTTTAATCAAGCAATTGTGTTTTTCTTGTAGATTCATGGAATAATTCACATTCCTGTGTCCATTGATAAGAAGTCATTGCTTGTTGAAGTCATTAGGTGACATTAGGTTATTTCAATGTGAGAAGTCAACAGGTTTTTGCATTCCGACATTGTGATAGTAATCAACTTCCTCTTTATACAACTTATACAACGATGTCAGCCAGTGAACAACAGCGCCAAATATGTCCACCTTATCTTGATCTATCTTGAAGTCAACGAACAAGTTTCAGCCCAGTTACATTTTATCTTCAAACTGCCAGTTCATTATGTTAAACTATAAAAATGCATATGGAACAAAGTGATGGATATTACAATATATTATGTTATAATCTGTGCAACAAACTAAAGTTATAATGGACTTGTTAGAACCATAGTTTACCGTATTTATATACAGTCAAATCCCGATGAGTCGAATGCTGGTGTCTCGAATATTATGCATAACGCGAAGTACCTGTCGGTCCCGACCATTCCCTGTTATAGTTGTCATCATTTGAATACCGGTTACACGAATTCGTCTCATAAATACAACCGATGACTCGAAAAGGAAATTTGGTCCCATGAGATTCAAACAACAGCAATCTTGTATACATAAGCCGAAGTCAGTCAATGAGAAGTTAATTGGTGTAGCAAACTGATCCAATTAACAAACCAGCGCGGCTCACACCTTTCCGTCATTGACGGGTGAGTTCAAAAGGCAGATTAGTGCTAATCAGACTGGAACTGATAAGGTGCCCCTATTAGTTATATGGAAATCATTAGATAAACAAATGCTTAGGTGGAGAAATTAGGACTGGATCATCTTTTTTCTACCCTCATAGGCATACTTATGTCTCGAATACATCGATAAGTCGAATTTATTACTTGGTCCCCAGCGATTCGACTCATCAGGATTTGACTGTATACTTCTCATCAAAAGATTAGACTCACTAGTGTAAATGTAGCCACTTACTTCAGGCAGCTGTTCTAACTAGATTTTGCAAAATATTCCATACTGTTTAAAGGTACTGTTTACACATGAACTGATGTATTGTAGAAAAAATTTGTAACACATGTCATGAGTTCAGTAAATGATGAAAATAAATGAAAATTGGCGAATTCTTAACAAAACTTTACACCAAAACGCAGCTGTTCACATGCACGATATTTGCAGATGCTTTTCAGCAATTTGATGCATGATCCTCATGCAATTCATCTGCATCAGGTTTGCAGTTGGTTCCCCTCAGTTGGTGCAGAAACCATACATACATAACATATAGTGAGTGCTTTAAGTGAGTCTGAACTTTTGATAGGTAGTATAGGTTATTTGGTATGCTGGATGCCGAGCCCTGTAAAGTGGCATTCCAGATGCTGCTGTGCAGTATCCTTTATTCTGGTATGTAGATACCAATATTTCAATTTATCTTTTGTCTTTCCTTTTTGCCAAGCGTGATATAGCTTGTAAGCATGCATAGTCATGCATTCTGTGTTAAAATCCCAATGTAATTTACATGTACCAGCTGTGAGGAGTTACTGAATTGGATTCCAGGACAAATTAAGGACATGCTTGTGCATAGAGGGTTTTGGCACCTTCATTATATTTTCCAATTTTGTTCCCAGACAGCATACAAAACTATGCCTGTAACCATGGTAACACTTTCTGCATGCTGGCTGACCAAAAATCATTAAAACTTTATTTATCCTTTAATTAAATTAAACTGTTGTATCAGTACATATCTTGACATAATTTGCCAAAAACATTTTGTTTGTCTGTGAGAAAGAAAACAATGCAATGTTCCTCTTTATTTGTTTTCATTTGATAGAATTTTATTCAACTCCTAGATATTAAATATATATGATTATGTTATGCTTCAGATCATTCCAGGGAATCAAATAAGCACTATTTGCTGTAGATAGTTGAGTTATTGATGGT